TCAGTTATGAATCATTTTCATTAACATTTTAAAATTTTATTATAACATATTTTAGTTTTGTGTATTCCTTTAATTTTTCTTATTTAAGTATTAACTGTATGAAATAATAAACTACCTTTTGATATATCGCAAGTCGAAAGAAAATGTTTTAAAAATGGTGATGGCAACAAATGTACAAATGTGCTTGACACAATGGATGGATGGATGGATTGTGTTAAGAGTTAAGTTGTATGAGCCCCCAATAAAATGATTTTTTAAAAAGAGCTGTACAAGCCCCCAATTTAAAAAGCAAAACAAAACAAAAAACTGTGGCACAAAAGAAAATCAGAAGGGTCATTAGGACAGCGAACCGGTTGTGAAATTATTTGAATCTCACCACTGTATAAAGGACACGTGGAAACTCTTTCTATTGTTTTATAATACCTCTGTAAATCTGAATTTTTAAAATTATTTTTGAATACTGCTTTGTTGAGATGATGGGGATGATTCTCATCTTAAATATCTATAGTTATTTTAACACCATTCTTTCCATGAAGAGGTGTCATTTTCAAAGAAAAAAAAGGAATGAGAAACTTTTGGAGATGTCTGCATCCTCTCCACTTTTGCAGCCCAGCCCAGGCACAACCAAAGGCAACGATTGTGTGCTGTAATCAATTCCAAATGATCTCCACCCCTTCTTCCTCTCCCAGTACAAGCCATCCTGTCCATGGCTGACAACTGACTCTCTTGTTCCAGAACTCTCCTACTTTCCCACAGTCCATCTGAGCAACTTAAACTCCTCCTTTGGCTTTGAAGGCCACTAAGAATCTGGCCCCAAGCGGCCTCTTCCATCTCCCCAATCCCAGATCAAAATCTTGCCAGCCCACATATGAGTCTAGAAAGAAAACTGATTTCAACAAGTCAAACTCAACTTGGCCAGGGGAAATAGTTCCCTCCATCCTAAGAAAATCTGTTGCTTTCAACAAGCTTTCAAATTCTTTTCTTTATACTCTTACTTAACACATATCAGATTTTTCTAGATTGACTCTGGACCACATATAGTTTCAGTCTCGTGATTTCTGACAATTAAGTTATTCCTCTGGGTGGACCCAAACATTCAACCTTGAGGTTAGCAGCCCAGCATGTTATCATTTGCATTGTGTGGAGACCAGCAGACAGCTTTATTGCTAATAAAAATCCGATTAGATGTAACAAAGTAAGTCTTCTTCGTATGCGTCTTTATTCACTGGAGCACACGAAGAATCTAAACAAGCGCTCTGGGAAGCTCACAGTACTCACCACAGTTCGCCCCTTGAAAATGCTTTGCCTTCCCTCCTCCACTCACCCTCCACTCATCCCTGAGCCCTTCTTAAAGCCTTCCTTTCCTAGGTAGACTTCCCATGACCCACTGCTCTTGACCGCCATGTTGCCTTCTTCTGTTCTTTCATTGTTCCACCACTGGAGGCAGACAGCTGTTCTCTGCCTTCTGTGTGTCTCCGTCGTAGACAGTCACATCGTTCTCCGGCAGTTTGAGTAGTATTTTATTTCTTAAGTGATGCCCGCAGCACTGTTCTCTAAGTTGGGTAGGTTGTTGGTTTTTGGTGGGTTTTTTTTCATATTTTAAATAGTCCATAATTATCAAGCTAGCAAATAACAACCAATGGGAGCATTCTCATCACACAGCAGTCCATGGAGAGGCCCAAGAAGTGAGACTGGATGTGCAATCTACTCCCAATTGTGTAAAAGGAGAACAAATTTTAAAAATAGAGAGAAATTTTTAAAATATATTTTAAATACCAGCAGAAGATATTCCAAAACTAACTTTCATTGTCTCCTTTACTCCTTTATTTATACTCAATACTTTATTCTATTTTCCAAACTTGTTATAGAGAGCACTTCTTGTTTTTGGAATAATAATCAAGTATTGCTTTTGTTTTTGAAGATGTACTTGTTCATGCTAGACACCAGGGTATATTGAAAGTTAGCCTGAAATCAGGAGGAAAAAATATATTCAGCTTCTACTGCAGGCCACCCTCGAACTCGACCTTGGGGAACATTTTTCAAGTAAATATATCACATCATTCTTGTAGTTGGGCAGTTCCAAGTTCAAGGTTCAGCTCTATCTTTTCCTAAGGCTGATTTGAGTCTCAATGCTCTTGTGTGCAGATGACAATCAAAAGACCTTTCTTCCTTGCCTTGTGGGGCCGTTGTGGGGTAAAAATGAAATGAGATTTATAGAGTGGCAGACATTCATGCAGAAAACACTACATGTCACCCACAGTACTGGGCACCAAGAGGGAAGAGCTGGGGTCCTGCTTTCACAGAGCCGAAGTATGAGAAGACAGACAGCATGATCAGAGGACAGTGCAGGACAGACAGGAAAACTTAAGAACCGACCAACAAAACAATGGGGCAGTATAAAGAACGGGATGTGATTCACACTGGATGGGGTGGGGGTGGAAGCCAGCGAGCCCTGTTGGCATCATGGGTTAAATGATGGGCTGCCAGCCAAAGGTCAGCATTGCAAACCCAGAGAAAGACGCAGCTGTCTATTTCCTAACAGATTGACAACCTTGGGCACCCGATGGGGCAGTTGTCTTCTGCCCTCGGGGGTCACTGTGGATCAGCACAAACTCAAGAGCAGTGAGTTTTTGTTTCTCCTTTCTTTGGAGGCAGGGGGAGGAATCCAAGTGTAAAGGAGTCACATCATCAATAAATCATGAGAAGAAACAGCCTTTGTCCTTATGCAACTCAAAATAGACTTCCAGCAGGCAAGCACACACGTCTCAAGCAGCCTGTGAGAACTATGAAGGAGGAAGGGTGTTGCAGGAAGATGTTGGGCTTGGGTTTGAACCCAGTCTCCTCCCTTCCTGGCTAAGTGTCCGTGAGCATTGGCAAGCTTTCTTCATTTGTCTCACGGGGAGAAGAGTGTGGGCCTTGTAGGCCCTGCTGGGAGGATTGATTGGATCACAGGTTCAGTAGGGAGCACCTGCCTTGGACCAGGTGGTGTTCTAGGAGCTGGGGGCACAAGGGGGAACCTGCAGACCAGGCTGCTTTCATGAAGTTTAACTCTGGACGGGTCAGAAGCTCAACACAGAAACGACTGTGCTGAGGTAGGCTAGAGAGGGCTGGTGGGTGGTGAATTGAAGAATTGGTGGCGAAATAATGTAAGACCTGAGACAGTAACGAAGACATTGACATTAACTGAACACTTTCAATGTAAGTGCTTTGCATGTGGAAGCTCAATGCTGCCAGCCAGCCTAGAGAGTGGTGGCTATTTTTTGGTACCAGTTTACATACGAGGAAGCTGAGACCCAGGTCAGTGTAATCACTTCTCCAAGGCTGCACAGGTGGTAAAGCCAAACTTGGAAACCAGTTAGTTTGCTCTGCTCTACGGTGTTGTGGCCTAGTATTGGGTTGTTACCTACAAGGTCAGTGGTTCCAATCCACCAGCAACTCCACAGGGCGGGGGGGGCGGGAATTAGGCTGTCTGCTCCCATAAACATTCATAGGCTTGGGAGCACTAAGGAGCAGTTCTACTTTGTCCTATAAGGTCACTATGAGTCAGAACCAACTTGGTGGCTGTGGGTTGGGTTGGGTT